AATATAGGCCTAAACCTATGTTTTAACTGTAAAATCAGGGGGTCGTTTTATACTCATATATTATATATATATATCATATATCCACTCTATCCACTGAGGGATATATATATATATCCCTCAGTGGATAGAGTGTCGGCCTGTGGACTGAAGGATCCCAAGTTTGATTCCGGTCAAGGGCTCATGCTTGGGATGTGGGCTCGATCTCCAGTGTGGGGCATGCAGGAAACAGCAGGTCCCTGGGGTATGCCACCCAGTCTATAGCAAATTTTTGACTCAAGGTGTTTCAGACTAACCAGTTTGCATGAATTCGGGCCTCAGACATCCGTGAGGGCTATGGTGGTTCTATATCCTCAAAAGAGCCTTTCTCTGCTCCTCGCAGGCACTTTTACTTGCAGTGCCCTGGAAGGTAGGTTTATTTCTGGTTCGGTCTTACATTGAGGATAGAGACTGCGGGGGGGGGGGGGGGCTTGCAGCAGACACATCTGATGATCCTTGTCCTATCTCTTCTGTCCATCTCTGGTCTTAACCTCACTTGTGGTGGAACGTTCTGCTCTGATTTCAGCCACAGTTCTGGTGCATGGTTTCTAGTAAGCTCACATGCAACGTGTGCTGGCTGCCTCCACTTCGAGGGCACACATCCACCTTTCTGCTCTTGCTCTTGGACCTTTGTCAAAGCCAAGGAATCAGGTTGGCTTTCATGCCAGGGCAGCCTGTAAGGGAGGAGGCAGTTGACCCCCATGAAGACCATCCTCAACTCACAGGAGAGGAAGCTGGTGGACCAATGCTCCAGGCTCTTGGCCTTCGGGTGGACCATTCTGGCAGGTCTCCGTCTGCCTCTCAGGATGCCCCTGCAGAGTCCGTCCGTAGGGGAAACTGACGTCCTCATTATTTTATGGCCGCCCTGTTTTCCTTTCTAATCCTTCCCAATCACACACTCCTATTTCTGCAATGGCTTCCCAAATAAACTACCTGCATCCACGTTCATGTTTTAGGTTGTGCTTTTTTAGGAAACCTAAATGAAGACATGGTCCCCACTTTATACTTTTGCCAAAATAAGATTCTTTTCTTCTTTTTTCTTATCATTTTTTCCTTTCTTTTTTCTTTTCTTTTCTTTTTTTTTTTTTTCCTACTACACGTTTTATAAGGTGTCTGAGATGGAGTGAAGATGACAGTCCTAGCATTTTCCAAATTTCACATCCATCCTGTGGCATCTTTAATGGATATATTTTACTCATTGTGCTGTTTTCACCTCCCTGTAAAGATCCAGTCAATTTATTTGTTTATTTTTAATTTTTTAAAAAAGTGTAATCTATTTATTCTTCACAGAGAGGGAGAGAGACAGACAGCTACCTCATCCCAAAACAGTCACTATGGCAGTCACAAGAGGGCAGAGGCTCCTGCTAACACCAGAGGGCAGCAGAGGCGAGGGAACAGGCGGGGAAGCAAAGACGGAATAATGTAAACCTGCTGGAGATCTATAATAATAGAGACGAGACTCGTTTTTATTGGCGCCGGTTACAAGTTGGGCATTGTGCTGGCACAATATGAAATCGTACAAAGTTCAAAGGCAGAGATCAGAGGCCAGAGCCAATGGAGAAGGGGAACAAAGTCCAGTTAAGAGGGCCGTTCTTGCCGAAGCCGGTTTGGCTCAGTGGATGGAGTGTCGGTCCGCGGACTGAGGGGTCCCAGGTTTGATTCCGGTCAGGGGCATGGACATTGATTGGGGACACATCCCCGCAGGAGTCAGCTGGCAGCTATTTCTCTCTCATCAATGTTTCTAGCTCTCTATCCCTCTCCCTTCCTCTCTGTAAAAAAAAAAAAATCAATAAAATATATATTAAAAAAAAAAAAAGAGGGCCGTTCTTCAGGTCAGCCAGGAAATGCCCAAAGACTGGCCAGCATGTCTGGAAGGACAATGGCAGAAATAAATGTGTGCCATGGTGGTGGGCCTGTCCTCTGCCAGGGCAGCTGGGGAGTTGCTGGGGGTCAGGTAAGGCACATTGCTAGGATCACTGAGAGTCACTTTCCACTGATCAGAATTTAAATGGCCTTTGCCTGAGCGAGCATTCAACTTTCTGGGTGGTTTTCTTCTCCCACCACAGAAATAAACATAACCATGTGCCACAAAAGTCTCAGGCTTTCCCATCATGCTAGTTGGCATTTGGGTAATATCTCATGCTTGCTTTAGCATCTAATCTTTGATTCTTATGCCTCTTGCTCTTGCTGATAAAATTCCCCAGCTCTACCAGATGGCCACAGAGTCCGGACCGCACTATGGCTGCCAACTGGCTCTAGATGAAGGGCTTCGTGGCACTTCCTACATCCTCTCTCCTGCAAGGTGGAGTTCACTCTCTTCCACAGGCCTGTGGAGCCCCCTGGAAAGTTACTGTGGGTTCCACAGGGAGCTCTGGGGGCACCCATCCAGTGTGCACTGAGTGGATCTTTTCATTTCGGTTGGCGTAGTTGTGTGTGTGTGTGTGTGTGTGTGTGTGTGTGTGTGTGTGTGTAGGAGGTTTCATACTATTCCCCCCTCCCAAATCTTCTCATTGCCAAGCTACAAACTCACTTAGATTTTTGTCATTTCTTATGAGTTTGTTTTTTAAAAAGTTTTTTTTTTTCCAATTAAATTTTTGCTCAACTTAGACTTTTCTCTGGAGGAGTTGCATGTTTACAGCTCGCCCATCTCTTCCTTTGCTCATCCTTTTTCCTCCTTCCTTCCTTCCTTCCTTCCTTCCTTCCTTCCTTCCTTCCTTCCTTCCTTCCTTCCTTCCTTCCTTTCCCCTGGGTGTGATGCTCCATAGTCACGTTCCCAGTTGCCTGGAAATGGGGGTTGTGACTTCTGCTCCGTGAGCAGCCTGGTTCCAGGATAGATTCCAGGAGCTTGAGCGATGGCTGACTCAGACCGGAGGCCTTTATCTCCAGGTTGAGAGCTGCAGGGACGAAGCCAGCATGTGGCTGCCGGAGCAGGGCGAGGCAGCGAGGCCAGGGGCTCCCTCCGTGGTGCCAGAACCTCGCCAACATCCGTTCACATCTGCCTCTGCCTCTGCCTCCGCTTCCCCATCCTTGGGGAGGAAGATCCAGAGCCCATCTCCACTGGGCCCACCGAGCCAGACTCGGAGTGTGCAACCTTGGGTCTGTACGTGAACAGATTCCTCAGGTGGTTCTGATGTGCTGGCTGGGAAGGCATCATTGAGCCTCTGCTTCATCTACACTGAGCCGGCCTGACGTTCTAGTTCCCACTGTGAGCTCTTGTTCCTAGAGTCTTCCTCCTTTGTTAGGAAAGCCACTGGAACCTCGGCTGGGCTCTGATAAGTCTCCCCAGTGGTGTGCCTCGGCGGTGGATGGAAGTGACACCCTCCCACACACTCCTCCAACCCCCACCCCATCCATGTGCAGGCAGGAAAGGGGAAGGCTGTCTGCAGACAATTTTAACACAGTCAGAAAATCCAGTCAGAAAACAAGAGCTGCTCAGCTTTTTTATTATCACCATGGCCCAGCGAGAGTCTACACAACCTGGTCAGAGGTCAACACCCCTCCCTGCTGGATGGACCGTCCCCATGCCCCCTTCTAAGATGAAGTCCGGAGAATCAACACCAAGAAGCAGCAACCGCTCTTGTCGGTTTCTTTTTTTTAAAGGTCTTTATTTTTCAAAATATACAATGTATTTACACCTTTATTTCACACAACTGTAGTTTGTATATTTATTCCAAAATCTTTAAATAACTCCGCGGTAAACAGTACAAATCACAGGAGCGGTCCATCTGCTTCTCTTTAGCCTTTATGCTCGTCGAGTTTTGTTTTGTTTGTTTTGTTTTTTAAAGTTTCAAGTAGTAATGGTTTGTGGGTAAGAAGGGAACAGAAATAGGACCAGAGGTTTACAGAAGCTCGACACATAGAATTAGAAAGGGCAATCTGAGCAGCTACGTGAGCATTTATATAGTTTATAAATAAGACCCTCTCGGGAGCAGTGAGGGTTTTGGTTATGAGGAAAAAGGGGCTGGAACCTCACCTGCTGGGGTCGGGGTGGTGGTGGGAAGTGGGGGGGCAGGTAGGGAGGGAGGGATAGGGAAGCCCATGGGGAGGGAGATAAGGCACCGAATAAAGGCTCCTTTGTGGCCTATGGAGGCTCTGGCTGGAAGGGTCCTGAGTGGGGGCCAGGGCCCACCTGTGCCAGGCGGAGGTCAAGAATGGCTGGGAATGGGGTGGGGCTCCCACCCACAGAGAGAGGCCTCTTTAGCCGACCTTGGAGCAAAGCTTTGTGATTCTGGAGGCGGGGAGATGGCGAGAGCAGCTGGTGGTTCCTAAAAGAAAGGGGCCTGGGCTCCCGCCAGCCTCGAGGCCGATGCCAGCTAGCCTCGGGCCCGTCTGCACGGGCAGGTGAGGGCCGGGCCTGTGTCTCGGCCTGAGGCACCTGGCGGTCCAGCTGGTGTGTGTGATCGGCAGTGGACGGAGGCACTGCCCTGGGGTGTGGGACGGCCTGTGGGAGGAGGCTTCATGCTGTCTCTTCCTGTGAGAGCCCTTCATCCACCTCAGCGTTCTCCACTCGGAGCCATCAAACCGCCGCCGGGAAGGGAGGGTAGGGAGACTGGGGCAGAGGCACTGCAGACCCCACTCTTGGCTGTGGGGGTGGCTCCCAGGGAGCCCGAGGTGCTAAGACACAGGTGGACCACAGACCCGCCAGGAAGTCTCAGGGATCCGTTTCCATCATTCCCCTCGGCCGGGTCCTAACGCAGTCCTGTGGGCCGGTTCCGGGCGGAGGTGCTGGCGGGAAGGCTGGGGCGCTGCAGGAAAGAGCGAGTTCCCGAGGGCCGTGTGGCCACCCCGTGGACGGGACCCTCCTGTGGCGGGCCGGGAGGGAAGTCTCAGCCTGTAAGGTCACCCCAGCACCCTTCACCAAGCCCGAGAGCTGGACCAAGCCCATCCTGCCTGGCCAGGCGAACCTTCTTGCAGAGTCTGGATGGGGCGGGGCGGGACAGGGGCCACAGCGGGGCGGGGAGCTGTCACTGGATCTTCAGGTGGGGCTCTTCTGGCATAAGGGTGTGGAAAATGTGATCCCACAACTTAGTGCTGATGCCAAATCCTAGAGAGGGAGACGAATAGGGAGAAGGTGAGGCCACTGTCCACGGAAGGGGAGACATCTGCTCGGAAAGGGAGACAGGGGAGGGCCAGCCCTCGGGAGGATTTTCACATCGGTCCCCGCTGGCCTTCCCAGCGCTCGGGGCCACCCTGGCAGAAGTCAGGGGCAGGGAACCCGTTTCCCAAGGATGTCCGTGGAGTAAACCCAGATCCTTTCTCTGGCGTGACTTCCTGGGAGAGCCTGGCCCCTGCCTGCCTCAGCCTCTTCCTTCTCTTTGAAGATGCCAAGTCCGTTCCTGCTTCAAGGCTTTGCACCTGCCGTTCCTGAGATGCTCTTTCCCCAGACGTGGGGTGCTGGCTCCTTTGGATTTAGGTCTCAGCTCTAACGCCCTTTCCGGAGTGACGTCTTCCTGCACCACTTGACCTAGTGCTCTGCCATCCAACACGGTGGCCACTAGCCCACGTGACTGCTCGGCACCAGAAATGTGGCTAGCGCTACAAAGCGACTAAATTCCCAATTTCATTTAATTTTAATTAACTTATATTTCAATTTAAAAACGTAGCCTCGCCCTACCCAGGTTGGCTCAGTGGATAGAGCGTTGGCCTGCAGACTGAAGGGTCCCGGGTTTGATTCTGGTCAAGGGCACATGCCTGGGTTGCAGGTTCAATCCCCAGTAGGGGGCATGCGGGAGGCAGCCGATCAATGATTTTCTCTCATCATTGATGTTTCTATCTCTCCCTCTCCTTCCTCTCTGAAATCAATAAAAATGTATTTAAAACAAAAGTAAAAACAAAAAAACATATACTCAATTCAATTACTGGAAGTCTTTCAAGCATATCAGAGCAATTCAGGTATGTCAATCTACTTCTTTTTTTTTTTTTTTTTACTGTAAATTTTATAAACTCTAAACACAGATTAAATATTCCCAATGAAAATTTAGCATCTGAATTGAGATGTGCTGTAAGTGCAAGATACACACTGGACACAGAAGACTTAACATAAGGGGCGGGGGGAAGTAAAATGTCTCATTAACAATATTTTACATTGATTATATTTTTTTTAATTTAAAATTTTTTTTAATTACTTTATTGATTAAGGTCATTGGTTATATCTTGACATGATAATATTGTGGTTGTATTTGGCTTCATAAAATATGCTATTAAAGTTCATTTCACCCATGTATTTTTTACTGGCTCATGTGGCCTCTGGAAATTTTTTAAAAAATCGCATCTGTAACTTGCATGTTTTACTAGACAGAGCTGGAGCCCTCCCCTGACTCATTCGGTTCCTCGAACACCATCTTGCTTTGCTTTCTTTATGGCCCTTACCACTGTCTGAAGTGACCTTTTACTACGGAGGGATTTCCTTGTCTGACTGCACCGCCCCCCACCCCAGAGAGCAGGATGGGAGCCCCAGGCTGGCCTTGCTGTCTGTGGATCCCCAGAAGCCAGAGCAGTGCCTGGCCCTGGGAGGGGCCTAGTGGCAGCTGCCAAACACGTTAGTGATGAGATGAGCAGGACGGGGAGGTGCTGGTGGAGCCGTACCTGACTTCTGGTGTGCGAAGTGGTGCTTGACGTGGTGGGCCTTCATGCTGTACAGGTAGGAGCCCTTGTGCGGCGAGCCGAAGTGCAGGTAGTAGTGGGTCATGTCGTAGAGCACGTAGCCCAGGAGGCCGCCCGCAAACACCGTGCCCCCCACCGCCTCGGGCAGGAGGAGCTGTAGGGCTGTGTAGAAGAGGGCGATCACCAGCGAAGCTGGCGCAGGGGGGAAGACCAGGCGGGACTCATCGAAGGGTGCCTGTGGAGGGAGAGGCTCACGGTCAGAACGCAGCGGGGGGCCTGCTCGTAGCCCCCACAGAGACTCCCCCACGGAGCACGGGGCAGGGCTGCCCGTCTGTCCTGGGGAGGGGCGGTGGTTGTCCTGGGTGGATGTGGCACTCTCCGTGGCTTTGGGGAGGGCAGGCCACTACGCCGGAAAGTCCTAGAGAGACTGTTTGGTTCCCGGTTTCCGAGCCAGGATAGGCCCTGCGACCCTGGGCAGGAACTCGGGGGTGGAAGTCATGTGGGCAGGACGTTCTCGGTTTCGAGTCCCGCTTTAGGCTCAAGAGGCCACTGTGGCTCTGGAATTTGTCAGATGCTAGAGAGGAGTCCCACCTCCGAGGACCGGGTGGAGCACTCAGACCAGGGCCTGACGCTGTCTGGGAGGCTGGTGTGGATTCACATGGTGGGGCGATACTTTCTCCCCGCCCGTCCTCCTAACAGGGGCTCTTGTTTGTTCCAACGGGGTGTTGTCACATGAAACAGGAGAAATAGGCCTTGGGCTTTGGAGTGTTAAAAGCCAAAGGCCTAGCACAGAGGTAAGATGTTAGTGACTGATGGTGAGGATTCTGAGAAAGACAGACCCTCTCTGGGCTGGAAGAAAAGACAGAAAGCAGGCAACCATCATAGAGCAATATGCAGACTGGGAGCAGCAGGACCTGTGGTATATGGGAGAGCCAGGTCTGGGAGGGAGGGAGGGAGGGAGGGAGGATAGGAGGGAGGGAAAGAGGCAGGGAGGGAGGGGAGGAGGAAGTGGTGGGTACCCTGGGACAGTCTGAGAACCACACGGTGTGGGGACAGTGGGATGCAACTCCCTCTGGGCAGCCCTGGCTCCCAGTCCCTGCCACTGGGGCCATCCTATTGGCCGTGAAGAGCCCCCGGGTGATGGGTGGTTGAGAGCTCGGACTCTTGGCATCCACAGAAGGAGGCACAAGATCCTGGCAGAGACAGGTGTGACCCAGGGTGAGTTCCTGGTTTAGTTTCCCTGAGCCTGCTGGCTGCTCTGGGGAACAGGAAGAAGGAAGCTCCTCTGGGCAGTGGCTGTTGACTCTCTTGCTCAGTGGTGTCTGGAAGGCTGCCTGGCGCAGAGTGAGCACCCGGTGGACATTCGTGGAGTGAACGAACAAGTTGCTGTGAGGACCGAAGACGGCCCACGGGAGGAACCGGTGTCAGTAACGATGGCACACAGACACACACGCTCACTCTGTCCACGCCCGGTTCAGGGTAGGCCCCAGCCCTTCCTCCGAGCAACAGCCAATGCCCTGATTTCCCTAGCTCCCAGCCTGGCTGCCAGAGAGCCGGGCGGCTCCTGTGAACCGGGCAGAGCCCCGCCCCGCTCACCTTGTGGTGCTGGCCGTGCAGGACGAAGTGCAGCGTGATGAGGTAATAGCTGTTGCTGGGGGGCTTCATGTGGAACAGGAAGCGGTGGAGGAGGTACTCGATCAGGCTCCAGAGGAGCACCCCCAGCACGAAGAGGCCCGGGAACGCGGACTTGGGCATGGCGACCGAGTACTCTGCAGGGCGGCGAGAGAGAGGAAGAAGGTCAGGGCAGATGGCCCCAGCGGGCAGCAAGGCCTGGTGGCTCCAGACATCCATCTCACCCCCACCCCCCATCACCGTGCCCGGCTGGAGTGGCTCAGTGGGTTGAGCATCATCCTGGGTGCTGAACGGAATATTGCCGGTTCAATTCCCAGTCAGGGCACATAGTTGGGTTGTGGGTTCGACATGGTCAGGGCATGTATAGGAGGCAACCAGTCAATGTCTCTCTCTCTTCCTCTCTCTAAGCATCTCCTGGTTGAGGATAAAGAGAAATAAAGAAATAAAAAAAGAGGGCCCACAGAGCTCCCTGTTGCTTTTGCCCACGTGAGGACACAGGAAGTCTGTGACATGGAAGAGGACCTTTGCCTGACCAGGCTGGCCCCCTGATCTGAGCGTCCTGCTTCTAGGTCTGGGAGCCATACATTTCCTGTTGTTTATAAGTCATCCAGTCTGTGACGTTTTGCTGCAGCAGTGCAGACGGCTAAGACCCCTGAGAAGACCCCTTGGTGGCGTGGGGAGAGGGGAGGGTGATCCCAATTAAGCCAGGAGAGCTGGGCAGTCATTGATGGAAAATGTGAACCACCAGCGACTGGAGGGCAGGAGGGACAGGAAAACACACAGGGAAATCTCAATGGACAAGACTTGAAATCATAGCATATGAGGAAGATCTGAAAAAACACCCGAAGATGATTAGCATGGAGGCGAGAAGATGGGAGATGTAACTGTCAAGTGTGAGGTTCCCAACACCCACCCTCGCACGCCAGCCTGCAGTCCTTGAGGCTCTTATTTTTTATTTTGTCTTAATTTTTTATTTTTATTGATTTTTTACAGAGAGGAAGAGAGAGGGATAGAGAGTTAGAAACATCGACGAGGGAGAGAATTATCGACCAGCTGCCTCTTGCACACCCCTTACTGGGGATGCACCCGCAAGGAAGGTACATACCCTTGACTGGAATCGAACCTGGGATCTTTCAGTCCGCAGGCCGACGCTCTATCCACTGAGCCAAACCAGTTTTGGCGAGGCTCTTATTTCTTTTCTCCATTTTGTTCATTTCTTTTTTGTTGTTAATCCTCACCCCAGGATATTTTCCCCATTGACTTTTAGAGTGAATGGAAGGAAGGGAAGGAGAGAGAGAGAGAGAGAGAGAGAGAGAGAGAGGGGGGGGGGGGAACATCGATGTGAGAAACACATCAACTGGCCACAGACTTCTGTCTTGACCTTATCTGGGCTCCCACCACACAATCCTCATGGAGGCCCCCATCCCCACCCAGCATGCCATGTGGTTCTGGCCTAGCACTCACTTAACCTGCTCCCAGGCCCTGCACTTGGGGGCATCCTGAACTGCAGAACCCCCCTGCTTTTCCAAGCACGTTCATGCACACGTCGGGGAATTTCAGTGAGCTGGTGTCTCTGCTCAGCCTCCACTGCTACTTGGCTCCCTGACTCTTCTGCGTGGACGCTAGTGCTCCCTTTGTCCAGCAGCCGTGTGGGGACCAGTCAGCCAACCCTTGCCTAGCTCTGTGGCTCTTACGTCCTCTGCTTTGCCTGACAGGGAGGTGAGGGAGGCCTGTGGACACGTATCTTACGCTGCCATTGCTAGCATCATGGCCACAGGCTCTCCACTGGACCTTTATTCATTTATTTTTTTAAAAAAAATATATATTTTATTGATTTTTAAATTTTAATTAATTAATTAATTAAAATATATTTTATTGATTTTTAACAGAGAGGAAGAGAGAGGGACAGAGAGTTAGAAACATCAATGAGAGAGATACATCAGTCAGCTGCCTCTTGCACACCCCTACTGGGGATGGGCCTGCAACCAAAGTACATGCCCTTGACCGGAATCGAACCCGGGACCCTTCAGTTCACAAGCCGATGCTCTATCCACTGAGCCAAACCAGTATCAGCTATTTTATTGATTTTTTTACAGAGAGGAAGAGAGAGGGATAGAGAGTTAGAAACATCGATGAGAGAGAATCATCGATCAGCTGCCTCTTGCACACCCCCTACTGGGGATGTGCCCACAACCAAGGTACATGCCCTTGACCAGAATCGAACCTGGGACCTTTCAGTCTGCAGACCAATGCTCCATCCACTGAGCCAAACCGGTTTAGGCTACTGGACCTTTATTAACCAGCACATCTCAGCTCTCTGCAGAGGCCTGCAGTTCTGACCGAGCCCTCAGATCACCCTCCTATAGGTCGAGTCCCCGCCCACCCCTCACCCCAGCATCATCCCTGTTGGCGCATCTGCCCCGGAGCTGGTACCGAGTGGCATCTCCAGAGGAATCCTGCAGAGGGACCTGGGCCAAAGCTCCGGCAGCCCCTTCCCCCTCCGGCCGCCAGCCCTGGCGGCACTGCCACTGTTGCTGATTGTTAGGGGAGCCCTGGGTGGACAGTGGGCGATTCAGTGAGCAGGCTTTCTGAGCAACAAGCCCTGTGCTGTGCCTGAGCTATTCAGCGTGGGCAGAAAAGGGTAACCTTGGCTCTCGGGGCGTGCATGTTAACCCTTGGACACCGGGTGGAGTTCTGGGCTCTGGGGGACTTCCTGCACCTTGTTCATCCTCTACCACATCCCAATCCACCCAGGAAAACGGAGGCTCCCATCACTGTGGATGTGGCCCCGCTCAGCTGCACCATTCAGGTCCTCTGCTTGCCACTCTGAGGAGCCGTAGGCAGGAGAGAAGCCTCAGAGTGGGGGCAGAAGGAGCCTGCATCTGGCAGAGAGGGGGTGCCCCAAGGGCCCACAGTGGTTGGGAAAGGGAAGCCCACCTGAGCTACCCCAGTGCCTTCTCCTGCCTGTCCCCTCCCCTGGCCACCATCTTGAGCCTCCTGCCACCACCCAGGGCAGGTGGCATGGACCTGGAGGCCCAAGGGAGGCGGTGAGCTTGGGAGGCGGGCTGACAGAAGTGGCCACACCCAAAGCCATGGCTGCTCTGAGACTCAGTTCCCTAGGCTCAGTGGCAGCCCTTCTCTCTGTCCTCTGATCCTTGAGGCTGGAGGGCGCCTCGCATCCACGTCCTAGCCACATGACCCTGAATCGCTTGTGTGACTTCTCTGAGGCTCCATTTCCTCGTCTCGAAAGGGCATGATGATAGCACCTTTCTCATGAGGCTGTTGGGAGGATTAACCAAGATGGCCCCTGGAAGGCGCCACACCAGGCTTGGCACGTAGAAAGTGCTCACGAGAGGTGAGTGAGGCTGTGACTCCGGATCAGGGGTTCTGCTGCCTGGACCTCTGCCCAGGAGACACTGCAGGACACTCCCAGATCTTTCTCTTCCAGGTTCTCATCTGTGCTGTGTCCATGGGCCGTTCGGAGTCTAGCTCTCCACTGTGCCACGTGGTGAATGATTTCATTTAGTTTCTTGACAAGCCCAGATCATACCTTTTCTAGTATTAGACTCGGCGATAAACCTCTTTCTTTATTGCTGTCTCCTGGCAAATGATTTTATTTAGTTTCTGTTAATGCGTTGCTGTTCTCCTCCTCCTCCTTCCTCCTCCTCCTCCTCCTCCTCCTCCTCCTCCTCCTCCTCCTTCCTCCTCCTCCTCCTCCTTCCTCCTCCTCCTCCTCCTCCTCCTCCTCCTCCTCCTCCTCCTCCTCCATCTCTCCTCCTCTTCCTCCTCCTCCTCCTCCTCCTCCTCCTCCTCCATCTCCTCCTCCTCCTCCTCCTCCTCCTCCTCCTCCTCCTCCTCCTCCTTCTCCTCCTCCTCCTTCTCCTCCTCCTCTTCCATCTCTTCCGATTGGGGCTGAGGGAGTCTGACATTTTTCTTTGGAAGACCATTTCTACAAAAAGGTCCCACTTCGCAATGTCTGTGATACGGTTTTGGGTTCTGTCTTCGCAGAAACCACTAGTGCCAAGAAGAACACCAAGGTCTCCCACCTCCAGGAGCCATGGGAGCAGGTCAGGAAGGGACCAACATTACCTGTGGTGAAGGAAGCGAAGAGCCGGACATCGCCCTGGGCGAAGGTTCGATAGTGGCACCAACTGATGTACAGCATGAGGGGCATCCAGATGATGGGGACGCTGTACCTGCAGGAGGGCCAGCAGGGTGAGAGACATACATGCTCAGGGGCTCGCCGGGGCCAGCTTTCCCAGCTCACTCTTGACTAGAGGGGGGATGACGTGATACCTAAGCAGGTGCAGAGTGCATGTGGAGAGCATGGGGGCAAAGGGGCGCTGCTGGGCGGGTGGGAAGGAGAAAGCAGAAGGAAGGCCGCGGGTCTATCTGTGTGAGTCCCTGAAATGAGTTATTGGCAGAAAAGAACTGTGTCTCTGTGGCTACAGAGTCTGTGCAGCTGAACAGATGCCGACCTCTTGTGGCAAAGGAGCTAATTGCAGGCAAAATTGTTCCCATGGGAACAAGTAGGGGCTGGAAACCCTTCCTAGGGATCTGGAATAGAACAGGGGTGGCATTCAGAGTGGTTTCTGGCTAGATGGTGGTGTGTCCCTCCCTCAGTGAGCAAACCATGCATAGGGATGGATTACACCTAGGGCATGTTCCATTATCCCCAAGAACTTGCAGTGTAGCTCTGGGCTGGGATTGGGGGGGAACCCAAATGCCCCTTCCCCTGACTGACTGACACCATCAGGACAGAGGGACAGCCCACCATGGACACAGTGCGGGGCTCACCAGACAGTCTTGGTGAGGGCCTCTATGAAGTCTGAGTGGAAGAGGCGGATGGGCCTGGTCACTGGCTGGTGGACCCACTCATCGTACTTCTCCCCCAAGTGGCCTACCTGCCACAGGAGGGGCTTCCGCCAGTCTACCAGGTCCTGCAAGAGAAAAAGTCCGTGGGCACTTGATATTCATTCTCCCATCTCCTGGTTTATAGTATCACAGTCACCACCCTTGACCTCCTGTGGCCGGTTGAAGGCTACCTGCCCTCTCGCGTTAGTGACTCAGGACTTGACCGAGCCGTTCAAGCTTGACTCAGCTCCCGGCCACAGGAATGAGATCCAGGACAGGCTCATGACCTAAGCTGGTGCACTAAGCCATCAGACACTCTCTCTCCCTGCTGGACTGGCCACGTTGGCGGGCATGAGCCTGAGGACTCAGTTAATACAGAAGTGTATTAGAAGGACAATCCAGGATCTAACGACACCAAGTGCAGGTGATGACACCTGAGCACCCAGATTCATCCATGCCTGAAGCCTGAAGGCCTGCCCAGGACACTGTAAGTACAGGAGCCAATGCACTCTGTACTGGGAAGGAAACAGGTCCTTTCTCCTCTGCCAGAGGCTTTCTTCTTGGTGTTGGCCTGGGCAATGCACATAATTTAATAGCACATTAGCACATGCAAATAATTGATAAATAATTAAAATGGAAATATAATGGAAAATGTGCTCTGAATGTTTTACTTATCTATACTAATAATAGAGGGATATGCAAATTGTCCGGGGCTCTGACACAGTCACGACCGAACTGCAGGCTGCGTGGGGCGACAAAGCTGGCAGGGGGGTTAGTGAGGGACGACCAAACGACTGAACAGGAGGCTGCATGGGGGACAGAAAGGGGCGACCAGGTCAGCAGCGGGGAGAGTTGAGGGCAACCAGGCTGGTGGGAGGGGGGCAATTAGGGGTGATTAGGCCAGCAGGCAGAGGTGATTAGGGGTGATCAAGGTGGCAGGGGGGAGCAGTTAAGGGCAATCAAGCAGTCAGGTAGGTGAGCAGTTAGGAACCGACTGTCCCAGATTGTGAGAGGGCAGTCGGACATCCCCTGAAGGGTCCCAGATTGGAGAGGGTGCAGACTGGGCTGAGGGGACCCCCCCATTAAAACTCTCAGCCCCACTGGAGGCGGAGCTAGCCCTGCCATCCCAGCCTTGGAGCAGGGGTGGGGCTCTCAGGCAAAACCGGCTGGTCACTGAGCGGTCTCTCTGGGCCTGCAACTAGAGAAAAAGGCCTGAAGATGCTTGTGGTTTCGTTATGTGAACTTGGCAGTGCCAGGGCGCTGGCTGTCTTCCTGCTTCCCGGGCTGGAAGAGGACTCTGGTCAGTCCAGAAGCATCCCACCCAGCACCCACTGAACAAGGCAGCCATCCAACCCCAACCGAGAGAGCTTGGCTTTCTCCAGTCCCCACATCGCCTTGACTTTTCCCCCTGGGTCTACTGGGAAATGAGTTCACTGGGTGCCTACTGTCTCATTCCTTCCATTCCTCTGCCTCAGGTCTCTGCACACACATACCTGGCACCACCACCACCACCACCACCACCAGGAAAGAAAGAAAAAAAAACAAAAAAACACAAAAACTGGAAGAACCAGCTATTGCTCCGTGTTTACACTTTATCTTATGTGGCCTACAGAGCCCCACCTCAAAATAAGGGAGGCCGGGGTCATGGGGAGAACTTGAGGTTTTGCCCCAATTGCAACACCACGGAGAGCTAACACTCAGAGCAATTGTTGTATGCAGGCATGACTCTAAACACCTAATCATTTGATCTTCAGCATACCCCTCGCTAGGCAAGTCCTGTTATTACTGTCATCTTGCAGATGGGGAAACTGAAGCAGAAGAATTTGCCCAAGGTCCGTCAGGTCTGTCTCTTTGATGAATGGGCCCCATAATCATTGGGAAATAGCCAACTTGGTCCCTGGTAATACTCCTTGTCCCGAATCTTAAGAGAGCCACACCAGGCTTCCTTAGGCTTGGTTGGGATGGTCTCTCTTTCCCCATCCTTTTAATTTTTTTTTAATTAAGGTATTACATATGTGTCCTTATCCCCCCACCATCCTTTTAGTTTCAAACTATGTATGTCTTTACATTTCAAGTGCATCTCTTAAATCTTGCTTTTTTTTTTTTTAAATCTAGTCAATCTCTGCCTTTTATTTGAAGTGTTTAATCCATTTTTATTTAATGTTTGGTAGTCCCACCATTTGTGTTCTGTTTGTCTCCTCTATTTTTTTTTTGCCTTGTTTGTATTAATGATGTACTTAAAAATATTCTATATTATCTCCTCTATTGACTTTTTAAATATATTATATATATTATTGACCTTTTACAGAGAGGAAGGGAGAGGGAGAGAGAGCTAGAAACATGAGAGATGAGAGAGAAACATCGAACCAGCTGCCTCCTGTACATCCCCTACCAGGGATGTGCCCGCAACCAATGTACATACCCTTGATCGGAATCAAACCTGGGACCTTTCATTCCACAGACCGACGCTCTATCCACTGAGCCAAACCGGTTTTGGCTCCTCTATTGACTTTTTTTTTTTTTAATATATTTTTTATTGATTTTTCACAGAGAGGAAGAGAGAGGAATAGAGAGTTAGAAACATCGATGAGAGAGAATCATGGATCAGCTGCCTCTTGCACACTCCCTACTGGGGATGTGCCCACAACCACGGTACATGCCCTTGACCGGAATCGAACCTGGGACCTTTCAGTCCGCAGACCGACGCTCTATCCACTGAGCCAAACTGGTCCCGGCTCCTCTATTGACTTTTAAGCTATGCCCTTTTGTGCCCCCACCCCCGCTCCCCGTTGCATTGTAACTCTACAGATGATAATATGCTTCCTTAACTTAGTACCATCTTTCTCAAACGAAAACCCAGGTGTTCCTACGTTCTACTTCTCTGTGTTGCACATGGCACTCCATGCCTGTTTTTCATTTGTCCACTTAATTCGAATTAACTGCCTCGGACCATGAATGCTTCCAGCTTTTCACAGGGATGGGGGTGGCCAGTCAGGCCTCTCTCTGAGCCTTGCTGTGGTTTGGGCAAATTTTCACCTGTTGATGCATTTTGCGTTTATTTTATGGAGAGTAGACACAGCATAGGATTCATAAGCTTGATTCGGTTGAGACCCAGGAAAAATGTCTAGGCAGGCAGCACACAGGGACTCCAGCCTGGAACTTCCACCCAGCGGTGAGGGAAACAGAACAGGAGGACAGAGCAGGTGTGGAGAGCTGAAGCTGGACTGCTGAAGAAGCGTTTGTATACAAGGTGGTAGGAACAAAGCCAGCACCCCCCTCCCCAGGTCCCCGGCTCCTTGGAACACAGGGTCTTTCAGTGGATGCCCTGTTGCCCATCTGACCTTTGTACAGACCCGTGAGCAGACCCGTAGGCAGGCACCATACAAATGGCGGACTCGCTGTCTAGCGTTGGTCGTGAGGCTGCCTCTGACCAGCTCGCTGGCCCTGGAGGGCCTCACACCCAGGCTCTGTGTCCAGCCCCCAGGGCATTTCTGCGAGGAAGCGCCCCTGGGTGCCCGGGAAGGACCACTTCACTCCCGGGGCTAACGCGCCACCTGGAGGACTCCCGGAAGGCTCCCTCTTCCTCTGCAAACACCTCCCTCGGTCCCCGAAGGCCAGCGCCTGCACTTCTCCCACGGCGGCCTCAGCCCACCATTCCAGGAGAAGTAAAATGAGCTTCCACGTAGAGATGTCCCACCTGCTGACTCTTCCCCATGTTATGGATGAGGACAGTGAGGCCCCGGGGGCTTACGTGACTCTTGGGAGGGGGCTGGCTGGCCCTGAAGCGGGAGCCTCCTTCCTCCCCTCCCCTCAAACCCGGGACCACACGGTCCCCCAGGAGCGGAGACATTCACGGTGTGCTCTGCCCGCGTTAGACGGCCCAAGTAGTGACAGGTGTCTTTTCTCAGTTCTCTTCCAGCTCTGACTCCTGAAGAGGAAGTATCAGCTGGGTGCTAATGTGCTCAACAGCTCTCACTTGCTGGCCATTTCCAACATGGCAGCTGGCCGGAAACTCATTGTGGGAAGGGAGGATGCAAAAATACACGGCAGTTCGGATCCCGTGAGTGGGCAGTGATAGACCCTCCCTTCCTCCAGTTGATGGACAGACGTAAACCCCATCTGCGGCCGGACAGACATTCCTGAGCACCGAACCACCCATCAGTACCTTCCAAATACCCTAAGCCCCTGATTCCTAAGTCCCTAAGTCCCTAATCACCAATCAGCGTGTGCTGAGTGCCCTAAGCCCCGTCCCCTATCCTCCCCTTAAAGGTGCTTGTACCCGGCCCTCGCTCTCTTCCTCTCTCTCTCTCTCTCTCTCTGGAAGCAGCCGGCAGTGGTACTCTTCTCTTCAGTAAAGCCTGTGTCCTGGCATCCCCGTCTCCAGCCTTCTCTGTTTCATCTTACAGGCAGGGTCTCGGGATAAATTCCACTTCCTGCCCTCCCTGGCAGAGGACCCCTTGGCTAACCCTCCTACGAATGGCTCTCTTCCTCCCAAGCTGATGTGGGATCCTGCCCTCTTCCCACCCCTACTTCCTAAGGCCTGGGGGGTTGAGGGGGCATCGAAGGCCTGACAGCCTCTGCAGGAAGTCAGGTGTGTGTGAGAGGGGGTGAGTTCTGAATAGGTCACACCTCTAGTTCTCAGCCGTTTGGGGGCTTCCATAGCAACCCTCACCATGGCAAATCCTCCTTTACACAGAGAGGGCAAGCGAGTCACTCAGGGTTGCCCAGCTAAAGCAGGATTGCCTAGGTGAGGGTGAGGGGGGTCTTTGGTGAACCCCAAGACCCCAAGCAACAGGCTGGGGACCCCCCCAAAACACATGCAAGTCCAGGGGGAGTTGGGTTAAAGCACCTCGTGCCAACTGTGTGTGTCCCATTCCCCTCCCCCACGCAGTCTGCCCCTGCCCCAAAGGGAGGGGAAGGGGGAGGGCCTGGGCCTCTGGGCTATGCCAGGAATGCGGCTGCAGCAGGGCCAGGCAGGGGGAAAGGGCAGCCTGCGGCCTGGAGGGTGGGTGGAAGGGCATGCGTGCTGCCAGGCTGGGGAGGGGGCCTCCTCGCTCTCACCCTTTCCCAGGTGCCCCCGCTCCTG